GAAGCATGGAACCAGATGGAGATTGTCATTTCAGAGGTGAGGTAGAGCTGTACAGAGCTTCAGGGATAGCCTGTGTTAGTACTCAGGCATCTGCACTGGCCTGTCCTTGGGGTTCTGACAGGATACGTCCTCAGCTGCAGCCACTAAGAGCACCAACTGTGCACATTCACTATGTTCCCTTTTAAAAGGGCCCTGCCCACATCCCTTCCTCTCTCTCTTTTTCTCTCCCTCTCTCTGTCTATCTGTTCCTCTTTCTTTTCTCTCTCTCCCCCCTTTCCTCTCTCCTGCTGCTCCTGTCCCCAGAGGCTGGTCTCCCCTCTCCCCTTTCTCTTTTTAATGATCCCTTGCCCCCCCAAAAAAAAACCCTCTGCTTGAACCCTGTCACATGACGTCTTTCTTGTGCTGATTTTCTTAAATTACAACAGTCAGCTGTTGGAACAAGTTAAAATTGGGGCCTGGCATTAATGTGACTCTGCAGTTATACCTGGACCCACAGATGTGACACTCAGGGATTCAGGTATGGAATGGCATTTTGGGATGCTGATGTCTGTGGGATCCTTGATTTGGGGTGCAACCAGCTTCCACTTTTCTTCACATTGAAACAAAGGCTTTATAGTTTGGTCCCGAAAGGGAGAGGACCATATTCTCTTATGAATATGGTTCAAGATATCAGACTACTCAGCTAGCCAAAAGAGCACACATCCTTGCAGGGGTGTGGGAGAGAAGGGGAAAGTGTTATCTCCATCCTGCTTTAAAAACCCCCAGCATCTGTGGCAGTGCTGGTCCTGTACGCAGCCCAAGTAGATTACACACAGCCCCCCACTAACAGCATTACAGACCCGAGTACACGCTAAGTTCTCAGCTTCGAGAAGGGACTGCTCTGATCAAGGCTTTATGGGAATGGTGAGTGAGTGGCCTAGAAATCAGCACTAAGCTGCAGGCACAAATTCCCATCTTCAGGACTGAAGAGAGCCACATAAGACCAGGAAACCAGCCTCTGCTAGAACTAACCTGGAACTCCCCCCAGATTCCCTTCTCTGCTCAGGTAGTCTCATCTGGATTTGTGGAAAACAGGTGGACTGATTAAAGAGAGATCTAGGGTTGGTATTTCAAATAAAAACAAGACGTGAACCAGGCAGGCATCCAGCAGTATCCTTGAGGTATAGCGTGGGAAGGAGAGAGGGACAGGCTTAAACAACCTGCCTTTATTTCAATTTGGGGTCTCACCTCCCCCCCCTTAAAGACCCACTTATCCACTGCTGTGATATAGAGAGACTGACCTGGCCTGGGCATTCACTGACTTCTTCAGACAAGTCAGGGTCATTCAAGGGGCAGCGCTGTAAACCTAGCAGGCTTCGGAGGGGTATGGGAGAGAAGGGGAAAGTGTTATCTCCATCCTGCTTAAAAACCCCCAGCATCTGCAGCAGTGCTGGTCCTGTATGCAGCCCAAGTAGATGCAGAATTTTAATGGGCTGCAGGAGGCTTATTCCTTCCTGTCCTCAGCACAGCTGTGGAACAGCTGTGGAATCTCTGTCCAGGGGTAGATGATGCACTCAGTGCTGGTAATGTCATTCCTAGAGGAGAAGGTGGAAAGAAAGAGGTGGAGGGAAACTGGACCGGGTGGTGTACACCTGTGATCCTAGCATTTGGGGAGGCTGAGGCCGAGGCAGGAGTATCTTGAGGTCAAGGCCTATCTAGATTACACGTTGAGACATCTCCAAAACAAAACAAAAATGGAAAGCTGAACTTCACTTAACCTTTGGAAGTCTTGGTTATGCACTTTATATAAATGAATATTTCTAATTCTCTCTAAGCTTTAAATGAAGAGTTAAAGTCTCCAATGTCATAGCTACTAAAAGGCTGAGTTGGGATTCAAACCCAAGTGTTTCTGACTCACCTTGCTTATTTGATTGGGTGATTTTCATGCCCCCCAAACTAGTAAACACAAACACCCGATGCTATCTACGATGATGAAAACATGAGATGTAATGACAGTGTCCTCCATAGAGCAGCAAGTCCCCTGGTCTTTGTGAGCTCGTGTCAATGTTCACATGCAGTGGAATCCACTCCCCTCTCTTTAAACTTGGACATTTAGCTTGAGTTAATGTGAAGAAATGGTATTATTAAGGTTCTGGTCCAGGCCCCAAACCGATCGTTCTCTTGTGTGTTTCCCCATTTTGATAAGCCAAGCCACCTTGCTGTAGACATGGATCATTGAAGGGGAGAGGAGCAACTAAGTTGTCTACACCATCCAACCCAAGCTAGTTGTCAGAATGCCGTCAAGTGAGTGATCCCAGCTAACATTAGGGGAAGAGTACCGTCACTCCACAGAATCATGAAATGTCATTGTCTGAAGCCAAGTTCAAGGATAGTTTTTATGCAACAGCAAATCACATAAATCAGGAAGGGGAAATTCAACATGGTACCTATGTGCTATTTTGGTGCTATAGCAACTCTCTCCAGCTGCTTCCCCACACTCTGTGCTCCATCTTTACCACTAAGTGCTGCTTGTCTTCAGCCAAATAAAGTGTCCCTGAGTTTGCCTGGAGCCTGAGAAGCTGAAGACACCATATACTGGCATCATAAAACAGGAATGAATCAAATAGGTACTGGCCTGAAAGCTACACCCTTAGGGGCTAGCTCTCACAGCACTGTGAAGTGCTGCTGGGAGAGAATAGCAATCCACAGTCTTTCTTACTCAGATAAGAATCTTGTCAGCTACAATAATCATTGTCCTGTCAAGACATGCCCACTGTTGCAATAGTGGCATGAATGTTATGGGGGGTGACCAACTTTTCTTGGTTGGATTTAAGGCCAGCTCCATGAATTGGAAAGCATACTTGGCACTACAAATGGGACCAAGAACCTGTTGTTAGATAGGCAATATTTCCTAGGGAAGAATCTACTATAAAGTTATTCTGCTTAAAAGCCATAGTATTAAAATAACTCCTAATGAGTTGTTGCTACATCCATAGATTGCTGTGTCTCTCAAGCTGAATCAGAGAAACTTCTTGCAGTGGAAGACAGATCACACAAAGACTCACAGTGCTCAGCCCTGAATGGGACATCGTATCACAGTCCTCCCCATCCCCACCCCAAGGCTCAGGGATCATCACAGAAGACAGAGTAGAAGGATGCTAAGGACCCAAGAAGATGTATGACTATAAGGAAACTATGTTTTCTGGATACAACAGGGCAGAGGCATGTATGAACTCACAGTGTCTGCGACAGCACGCATAAGGCCTGTGTGATCTCAGGCCAGACGAAATCCCAGTGTGTGGGGCGGGGCACAGAGTTCCACTCCTAGCTGAGAAGCTATTGGCATTTGATAGTTGCTGGGAGGAAGTTCGTTTTCTTTAAGGGTGTGACCATGATTCAGGGCAGGCCCCACACCCAAGAGTAATTGGGCAACATACTAGACTTAATAGGAGAGAGAGAGAGAGAGAGAGAGAGAGAGAGAGAGAGAGAGAGAGAGAGAACATGAGGTTGGGTGGGATAGGAAGAGGTATGCACCTGGGAGGAGTTGGGGGAGAAGAGAAAAAGATAAAAATACATTGTATAAAACTTTCAAAAAAAATAGTAAAGACATTGTTTTTCAATGTCAAATAAGTGAAGCAAAAAAACACATATTTTGATTTTTTTTTTGAGACAGGGTTTTTGTAGCTGAAAATGACCTTGAACTCCTTCTGATTCCCTTGCCTCTACCTCCCAAGTACTGGGATTACAGGCCTGCACCATGACACCTAGTTTATATGGTGCTGGGAAGCAAACCCAAGGCTTCATACATGCTATGCAAGCACTCTGCCAACTAACTGCCCCCCACACACACAATGATTCTAAAGGGGACCATTTGTTCATGATCCCAGCCACAGGCTGTACAGCTGAGAACAAACGCAGGCTGTTCGAGCAGCATGGTAGGGAAGGTGAAGAACCTGCTTCTCCATAAAAGAAGGCAACTTGAAGGGGATCAACAACCCAGTAGGAACATAAGCAAAGGGTACACAGAGGTGGACTACAAATATGCACATCCCAGTCACTAGCAAACAGAGGAAAAGATGCTCAAAACCCCCAGCAGCCAGAGAGAAACACAAACTAGGTAATAATAAGCTATTGCTTATTGGTTTAAAATACCTGGTGCTAGTGAGGCTCTGGGGAAAGGCATAACCCTTGAAGTTACTATGGAAACATGGATTGTTATTCCTGGAGACACTCAATATTGCAACATCTATTTAAAAACATGCTAAGTGGGGCTGGAGAGATGGTTCAATGGTTAAGAATACTGCTTTTGCAATGGACATGAGTTTGGTTCCTAGCATCCAGGTCAGGTCAGGTGCACACAACTGTCCACAACTCTAGCCTATATGGCCTCTCACCATACCCCAAATCTGCTGTCTTTCTTTGCCTCGTGTACCCTCTCCTTCTCTGAGACACATAGTTCCCCATATCTTATCAGTTTTCTTCTCAGGCCTTCAACTCATAAGCCAAGTAACATAAAGAAAAGCCAAACCTAGAACGCAGAGTTTTCCAGCAGTCCCCAAACAACAAACCCTGCCTTTCTATATCCCCCACAGTAAAACATCTTTCCATACCCAAACCCCCCACAGCAAGAAAGATTTCCATACCCAACCCAATCTCCACCCCCAGCCACAGCAAGACAGACCCATCCCACCAAAGGAAACCTTTCTCGAGAATGCTCACAGCTGGCTGTGCGTATTCCAGGCCCAATCACTAACAAAGTAAGTTCCAGGCTTCAGAAAAGACACTAAAAGCCAGACTCTGGAGGCATGGTGGTGGCCAGCCTATGGGTAGAAAGTCTCCTTTGGGAGTAATGATAAAGGTCTGAACTAGATGAAGAATGTCACACCACATTGTCAGTGTACCAAATACCACTAGACAGTACACTTTGAAATGGTTAGTGCTAGATTTAGTTTAAAGTACTAGGTACTTTGAAAGAAAAATAAAGGGCCCTCAGAGGCCTGGTGGGGCCTCACATACATTACCCTTTCTTGCTGCCTGGGTGCTGGTATTGGAGGCTGTAACATTTGGCCACCTTGCAGATGGCTCCTCAAGCCCACCTGTAATAGGACAAAAGAGAGAGAGAGAGAGATAAGGACACACCAAGGGAGCAAACCTCAATAAATGCCCCTCTATATAACCACTCACAAATCAGTAAAACTACCATCTTCCTTGGTCAAAGATGCTCTGAGTGGAATTCATAGAGTCCAGGGGAGTCCAGGTCCACTCCTTATCCAGCTAGAGAAGACGGAATGAACGCACAGGGAAGCTGGGGAGTCAGGTGCACACAGGTGGAATACAGTGCAGCCACTGAACCCCTGATGGAGCTCATCACTGTGGCTCTGCAGTCCTGGGCTTTCTCTTTGTGTTCTGGTTTTCCCACAGGGAGAAACTTCTCTAGAAAGCTGCTGCGCTTCCTTTATAAACTGGACCATGTTGACACCATACAGCAAGGGCAGTAAGGAGCAAATGTGTTTGTGGGCAGCCACATGTAGACACCCTGTCAGCATCCACCTCCCCCAGAAGATGTCAGTCTCGCTGTGCGCCTGGGCACAACAGATTCAGCCACCACCCAGCAGACAGGGTTCCTAGCATTCTCTAAATGTCAAGTTGGATTTAACAGTGGAGGGGCTGGCTGCAAATTCTGAAGACCAAAATTCAGCATTGTGCTGACAGGAGGGGCTGGGAACTTCTGTGGGGTGAAGAATGAGAAGGGTCATCGATGGGTGCTTGTTTGGGGACCCCAGGGAGCAGATCTATGTTCAGGAGACACAATGACCATGAAACCATGTCAAAGCCTCCAAAGAAGAATCTACTGACAAACAAGAAGGTACTTTTTGCACTGATTGGGAAACCTGAAGCTTTTGAAGCCACCTTGCCCTCATTAGAATACTCTAGGATAGGTGGGGCATAACCCCATTGTAAAGGAGCCAGTGCTGCATGGTAATGAGCCCAGGATGGCCTGGCTCAGACATGGTCTCCTAGGCAAAAAGCCAGACTTATCCTGAACCACCACTGCATGGCAGGTTAGCACCACACTGTCCAATGGGTGCGCTGTGTCAGGTCCACACCAGTGGACGTAGCCTGTGGCCCTGGCACCAGCTCCTGAGAAGCAGACTGCCTCGTCCACCTCTGTGACTCAGGCAGGGCCTGCAGCTGCCTTGGCGTCCTGTAGAGAAAGGACCCCAACACCAGGCAGGGACAGGAGACTCTTCGCATCCTGCCTGGCTGGCCGGCTGGGAATGCGCTCACCCAGACCCTGCAGCTGCCGGAGTCTGCGCTGCCAGCTCCCGGCCCTCGGGTATTCCAGTTGCGATATCATTTCCTCCCGGGCTAAAGGTCAGGGGAAATCCTGACGGTTCTGCAGCACAGGAATGTGCCATCTGCAGAGAGAGGTGGGTCGCCGCCAGGCTCCAGGTCCAGCTCAGCCTCCGCCCCACAGACTGCGCAACTGCTGCTGAGAACCTGGGCGTTAGCATCTTTGGTCTGTCAAATGGGCTGCTGTGGGGACCAAATGAGGTAATGAGTTTGTTTAGGTATGTGTTCATTCAGAAAATATGCATCTGACACCTGCTATGTGCCAGATTTCGTTCCTACTGCTGTGGGGGTGATCTCAGGAAATTATATTCTGATGGAGGGGAGGAGAAAAAGGAACAAATAGAAGTGAAGTATTTAAGTTGGCTGTTGGTGTGCTATGAAGAAAAAAGGGGGATTCCAGGGTGCCATTTCATGTAAGAAAGAAAAGAAGTCTGAAGAGACAAATCTATAGATATCTGACAAAGAGCATTCCAAACTGAGGAGACGGCAGGCTCAAAGGCCCTGGGGTAGGAATGTGCTCGGCAGCAGGCAGCCGGGTATGCCAGGAATGGAATGAAAAAGGCAGAGAATTGTAGTAGTGAGGCCATCGGCCCTCAGCATCTACAAGAACAGCTAGTGTGAGGCCTTGCAGACTCTTTTTGGACTTCAGCTTTTATTTTGAGTGTCCTAGATATGATGCAGAAGACATAGAATTGCATCCACTTTTTGTATAACAGGAGCTGTTAACAGTGGACAAGAGGGAAGCATGGGAGCTGGGGGTCTGTACAGCAGTGGGAGCCCAGCGTGGATATCAGTTTCATCTTATCTGGCTTCCCAGAAATGAAGGGACAGGAAGAAAGATCTGTACGTTGTGTCTGGGTATAGGCGTGGTTCTGGATGAGCCAGAGACTGTAGTGGAGGCAGTGCAGCAGTGCTGAAAGCTGGGGCTGTGATGCAGGGAGCCAGGCCAGGAGGGATGACGCTCGGTTCTACAGCAGGCAGAGGATTCAGTGGGGTCTCTGGTTCCTTTGGCTTTCTGCTGCTGGGGCTGAACAGGTGAAAAGCTTTGGAGTTGGAGGAAACAGAGCAGTGGCCGTGTCTGAAAGTATCTGTGTTAACTAAAGTGCTAACCATGGTGTTCGCCACAAGCTAAGAATGTAGCTAAACACTTTCTTCACATGGGGTTGAGGTTTCCAGCCTCATAAAGACCCAAGGACCAGAAAACACATGCCGAGAGAAAAGACAACTAAACTGCCCTGAGGGCATGGAGGCATCTGTCAGTCATAGAAGATGCCTGTCCTCCTCAGACAACCGCCCCCCGCCCCCGCCAAATCAACGCAAGAACAAGTGAGGTGCCTGGGAGGTACAGGCAACTCCAAAGGGCCCAGAGCCTTGTCCAGGCGTCTGTGAGAGGACACCTGTCATTAGTGACAATGCTAGAGCTGTGGTAGTTAAAATACAGATCTCACAGATCTCAGCTACGAATGGAAGCACATGTCTATCATCCCATCTCTTGGGAGGCAGGGCCAGAGGATCAGGAGTCAAAGGCCAGTGTTAGCTGTACAGAAAATTTAAGGCCAGCCTGGGCTACATGATCTCCTGTCTCAAAATACAAAAACAAAACACTACCATCAAAAAGCAAAAACAAAAACCAAACAAACAAACAAACAACCAAGCACAAGTCCTACATCTGACCTTACCCTCTAGAGGGGAACATGCTGTTTTTCCTCAGAGAGACACCAGGCCCAGGCTTCCAGTTCTGTCTATGAGCTGACCTAAAGTCAGTGAGCTGACAAGCCTTGCCTCCTCCCCAATGAAAACCCTCCCACTGCCTTTGGGATGAATTCCCACCTTGTGGGTGGTGGATGAGGCCTTTAGTGACATGGCCCTCTTGGGCTCCTTTAGTGACATGGCCTTCTCAGGCTCCCCTGCCTCACCTCTTGCCTCCATTTCCACAAGCTGAACCACACTGAGCTTTAGGGACTGGGTTCTATTTTTCATTTTCCTCCTTTATTTTTGTTGAAACAGGTCCTTATTATGCAGACTGGGCTGGCCTTGAACTCAAAATCATCCTGCCTCTGCCTCTAAGTACTGGAATTACAGACATGTACCACCTCACTGCTTTCATCTTAAGCATCTTCTTCAAGCATGCCCTCCTTTTGGGCCTGGCTAGATCTTGCTGGTTCTTCAAGTCTCTAGCTGGATGCCACTTCCTCTGGGACACAGCAGCCCAGCACCCTTCTCTTCCTGGGCTTTAAACCCATTTCCTCTGAGCTTCCTCAGCCCTTCCTTTACCATGTCCATAGCTCTCACTACACATTCCTGGAATCTTGTTAGTGCTGGGCACACACCGCCCCCGCCCCCTTGTTAACACAAAAGAAAGGGCATTTCCCCCCAGAACTTGGCATGAAGCAGATACCCAGTTACATAGGTGATGGATAAGTCTGGGAGCAAAAGCCTGGGGCAGCTTAATGGTGTTTCAAAAGATGATGGCAATCGTTTCCAGTTCTGCTTAATACTGGGGGCAAGTGTGTGTTTCTTAGCTTTACTAGAGAGATGAAGGCAGCTGTTGAACAATGGCTCTCAACATTAGCCACAATTTTTTTTTAACTTTATTTATTTATTATGTATATAACATTCTGCTTCCATGTATATTTGCACACCAGAAGAGGGCACCAGATCTCATAACAGATGGCTGTAAGCCACCATGTGGTTGCTGGGAATTGAACTCAGGACCTCTGGAAGAGCAGCCACTGCTCTTAACCTCTGAGCCATCTCTCCAGCCCCCATTAGTCACAACTTTAATGACTTGGGAAACCTTTGTAAAAAATACCGAGGCCTGTTCCCCCGACTCCTACCCTCAGAAGTTGTTTTAATTGACCTGTAGCATAGTCCAGACATGGGAACTCTGGAAAGCTACCAAAGGTGATCTGAAGGTATAACTAAGCTTGTTCGCTGCAGCCAGGAAAAGAGGCATATACTTAACCAGGCAGTGGTGGCACACACCTTTAATCCCAGCACTCAGGAGGCAGAGGCAGGCGGATCTCTGTGAGTTCGAGGCCAGCCTGGTCTCCAGAGCGAGTGCCCGGATAGGCTCCAAAGGTAAACAAAAAAACCCTGTCTCAAAAAACCAAAAAAAAAAAAAAAGGAAAGAAAAAAAGAAAGAAAAAGAAAAGAAAAGAAAGTGTTGGATGCTGGAATGATTACAGATGGTCCTGAGCTTCCATGTGAGTGCTGGGAATTGGAACCTGGTCCCCTGGGAGAGCAGCAGGTATTCCTAACCACTGAGCCTTCAGTCCTTGTATTATATTCATTTGTTTCTTTGTTTTGTTTTTGAAGACAGGGCTTCTCTGTGTAGCCCTGACTGTCCTGGAACTCACCCTGTAGACCAGGCTGGCCTTGAACTCAGAGATCCGTCTGTCTCTGCCACCCAAGTGCTGAAATTAATCATATGCTCTACCACTGCCTGGCTAACCTTGAACGATATTCTTAACAAATAATCCCTTCCTTTCCAATCTCACTAGGAACCAAAGATGTAGAGCTGGGGTTAGACCCGTCTAACTCTAGAAAAAGCCATATGTTAGCTGGCAGTGGTGGAGCATACCTTTAATCCAAGCATTCTCAAGAGGCAGAGGCAGGTGAATCTCTGACTTTAAGGCCAGCCTGATCTAACTGAGTGAGTTCCAGGACAGCCAGGGCTACACAGTGAAACCCTTTCTCAAAAAAAAAAAAAAAAAAGAAGGAGAAGGAGAAGGAGAAGGAG